ATTGTACTTTTGACACTCAGATTTTTGGATGTGGCAAAATTTACTACTCTATTATCATTATTAATTTCGTGCCAAAACTCATTACCAGTCATTGGTTTGAAAATGTCTTCCCAGCCTACTTTGGCATTGAAATCTCCTAACAAAATTTTTGTATGACATTTAGGGAATTTATCAAATACACATTCCAGTTCTGTGTAGAAGCTGTCCTTCATACCATCTATTTTATCTTCTGTTGTGGTGTGAACATTCAGAACAATGATATCACACCAGCGACATCTTAGTATTATGTACGATGTCCTATCACTAGAAAAAACTACCCTCTTAACTACTGATACGATTGTCTTATGTACAAAAAAAACCTGTACCCAATTGGTGATTCTCATTCCCCTTTCCATTGAAAAATGTATATTCACCTGCTGTTTCAGTCCCACCTCTGACCCATCTGACCTCCTGTACTCCCACAGAATAACTTATATTTTGATATTTCTTTCATGACTGTCGTGAGTGAACTTGCCCTATACACACTTCTTGCATTCCACGCACCAAATCTCACGTCCAGTTTCCTTAACTTAGATTATTTATCAGAAGAATCCGTCAGAGTGTCAGGCCCTTTGTGACATTATGTAATAAGCTTAGTTTTTACAGTGAATAGTTGTTAACCCACTTCCAACACCCAAGCTGGAGGACCACCCCTTGTCAACTGTCCGTGAGTGTTTATTCAGTATGTTTGCAGCTACCCTCCATATCTGGAGGCTGTCTCCTCCATCTGTAACCTGAGAGTACAGCGTGCTGTGTGACAAGGGACCCACCTAACATGGGGAGAAATGAAAACTGCCAACGAAATTGTAGTCAGAAGTACTGAATGGAAGAGACCACTTTGGAGATCCAATTCTAGATGGGAGAGTATTGTTGAAATTACTCAGTGAGAAATAGGGCATTAGAATTTGGACTGATTTTAACTGGCTGAGAATTTGTGGGCTGTTGTGTACATAGTAAAGAACTTTCCCAAAAAAGATTGAGTATTTCTTGAATACCTGAGTGGCCATAAGCTTCTCAAGAAGGATTCTGTTGCATTGATTAGTTTATGATTTGAA